TTGCAGGACAATGTGCAACGCAGAAAAAAAAAATCCAAGAAAGAATTTGGAGGGATGGATGTACATGATGATAATAATGGAATAAAATGAAAAAACTACACTGTAACGTCTCATTATTATTGATAAGTAATAGGATCTCATCGAGAGAGAGATGGGGAGGGTAGCGTAGGGGAAAAAAAGGAAGCTTAGTTGAGGGAATGAATAGTAGTGGAATGTGAGTAATGCGTTAGTGGCTCCACAAAGACAAAATTGACAAGTGGAGAGTTGCTAAGTAAACAATGGAGCACCGGCCAGAAGAAAAAGAAGCTGTTACCAAATGATTAGCAATAAAATAATGAGAAAGTTTAGTTGTAAAGGTTGATGTGGGCATGGGAATTGGCAGCCGCAGTACAGAATTGGGCGGTGCATCACTTTCACCGGCAGCAATCTCATGAAATTTTGGATGGTAATTAACGTCAGACTCTCTCTGATTTAGTCTAATCACGTCCAGGTACCTCTTCCTCCTTTGCTTTTCTTTTCTTTTCTTTTTTCCTCCAACTTTTTTGAACGTTTTTCTGGTAAAATGCATTTTGTCCCCCGTTCGCACGGCAATCTATGAGGTTCAGTGAAGTTGGGTATCAAAGTTATGAAACAGTAGTAAATACATGAGGGAATATATCTCTCTCTTGCAGTAGTATAGTGTTAGGTTAAACTACAAAGTACGACCACCAATTAAGTGCAGTATTAGGATTAAAAAGGTAGTTAAGATATAGTAGTAGTAAATGACAAATCATCCGTCTTGTCTGCATTGCCTTGCGTGTACAGTTGTTGCTTCAAAGCATAATAATCTGCAGGATTCGATCGGAGAATCATACTGCTGTAAACAATATAAATCCTGTGCACAAACATGTCGATTTTATTTGTTACTACTAAATTCAATGAATTTTTTTTGATGTTCAGTGTTAAGACTTTTTCCAGCAATTTAACCAACCTCCATAACTGTCTGCTGCTTCCTGATGCAGTCATTCTTATCTGCGCTAGCTGCTCTCCAAAACAGCAGCACACCAACTCCTCTTATTAAATCAATTTTCTTATATTCTGATTGACCATTAATGTTTTTTTCCCTTCTTTTTTCTTTCACTTTTTCTGTGCTAAGGCCTTTGGTTACTCAATAAAATAATGGAGTGCTTGATTTGTATTGCTAAGAGCAAAAAGATCCAGACAGCAAGCAAGATCACGAGCCATCTCCAATAGGAAGGAATGGAAAAGGGTTAGAACAAATAATAATATTATTATTGTAGTGCTCTAATTTGTTAAGCATGTAACTTGTCTTGTGTCAATTTATGCTTAATTTAGCATCCGGGACAGATTCACTGTAGAGTTCTTCTTGATAAACTGAGAAATCCATAGGAAGCAATTTTGTTGCAATTTGGAAAGAAGAAAAAAAAAACAAAAGAACCTCAAAGTAGGGTTCAATTTAGTGTACAGCATAGTTTTAAAAAACTAAAGAAAACTAAACTACAGGAGTAAGAGGACAAAGTAAAAAACTCAAAACTTCGAAGAAATTCTTTTTTTTTTTTTTTCCCACCAAGAATAGCAAAGTCAGAAGATACTAAAGCTTACTGATATTTTTGCAGCCAAAAGTGCAAGTACACATCTAAATCCAATTCCAGGATCGTCAAAAATATTCATATGGTAACTAGAAAAAGGCGATCTGTGGACCAAAAAAGTTATTATTATTATTTATGCTTAATTTGTTTTAGAGAGGGTTAGGAAGGCCAACAAGCCAGCAATTCAAAGGCATCTATCTATAGGGTAGAGGAAAAAGAGACAGAGAGAGATAGAAGTTAGACCGCTACTTCAAATCGCACGACCTGTCGAGACACGGACGCACACATACGTATAAGTTGCTATTTCAATTCAGCATTCTCTCTCTCTCTCTCTCTCTCCTAAGTGACATGCATAATTTAAGGGAATTAAATACTTCGAATTTTATGTGTTTTTGCATCCAATTCTCTTCCAAACAATGGATTTGTTTGGATAGAGTATTATTTGGAATAATTACTGTAGCACTTTTTGTGATGTGATGTATTATTAGTAATAAATCATTCGTGTAAAATTGAACATTGTGCTTTTGCTTTTATCTTCGAACTGAAAATGAATACGAGTAGGTGTGTAATCATATTTATGATAAAATTTAATTACTACCCGTCATTTCTTTTTCTTTTTTTTTATGAACTATACTAATTAATGAATATTATCACATCATAATAAGTTTACATCTTTAAAGACTAGTATTGTAGTTAAATATTTGGAGTACACTAATTTTTTGATATAAGTATGAATAGTTTATGCAAAAACATTTGTCAATGAATTGTTTAAGGCCTCGCATTCATTTATATACAATTAATCACAATAAGAAAAAATTTGCATGGGCAAAATACCAGCAGGTGATGATTAGATGATTTAACTAACTAAACTGGATAAATATCATGGACGTAAAATAATAATGATTTAGTAAGTCCGTGCGATAATAAACACTCTAGTATTATTGTTAATGTATGATGATTGTTCATACTATATATTTGCAGAAAAAGAAAATTATTAGTATGTTTAGAAAAATACACAGTCAAATGCAAACATGAAGAATTACTACTAATAGCAGCACATAAAAGCTAAAAAAAAGGAGTAGTAATTATCCTTGTGTTTTGCTTGGAAGCTACTCATCTCATCTTGATTTGATGCGATTGATGATATTAGTGATAATACGTCCCAACCTAATATGCAACGTCACCAGTCATAATTCCCTGTTTTTTTTATCATGATCATCATGCAAATTGCTACTTAAAACACAAAGCACATGAAAATCAGCCCCAACACTGCAAATCAATATCAATATCAATATCAATTCGTTTAAAATGGCGTTTGCGTTGGGACCCTTTTGCACAGTATTATTGTCACCCGAAGTTGGTTCCAAAAGAGAAAAACATTTTCCGGAGTATTATCCCAAACCCAACCCCCCCCCCCCCCCCCCCCGGTCCTGCATAATTCCACCATTCCGAACATCAATCACATCATCGGTATTTGCCTGTTATAAAATATGGGTATCTACCCAAGAAATCATTAAACCAGGAAAGAAAGAAGAGAAAGAAAAGAATTCCAGTCTATTTCCCAATTTTATTCCTTATAACTTCGTCTAAAGTCTGGCTTGATTTTGATTGCAGGAGATATGAATCCGACAGGTTCCCCTTGGATATGGCTTTATTGATGTGATTTTGTTCTTTTCTTCTCTTTCCTTCTCTTTCTTTCTTCTTTATTATTATTATTATTTTTTTTTAATTTGTGGATGGTGGTGCTTTCAACAGAAGTTTGTTTCTGCTGAATGAATATATACCCATCCACAAGCTCGGTAGGAAATAGAAAACTCAAGTCTACAAAATTGAGGCAACAGTTAAATCTTGGCTTTGTCCTTTTCGCGTAGTGCGGCCTTAGTTGGAAATTTATAGAGAATGCTGCATGAATGATTTTTCTCAAGATAGCGCAACCATGGAAATGGATATTATTGAGACATCCTAGTTAAAATTAGTCTCCACAACTTAGCAATTAAATCCGGCACAAAAGATATTTGTTTTGAGGGAAAGAAAATGGAGGGATATGGAATTTGATATTTGGATTGCTTTCTGAGGAGGAAAAGAAAATAATTGAGAAAGATAAGATTTAGTTATTTTTTTTTTTATGAACTTACCTTCTATTCAAAAGTGGGTAAAAACAAAGTTAAAAAAAAAAAAAACCAAGATAAATGAAAATTTTAAAATCCCTAAAAAAATCTATATTTTTAAATTAAGATTTTAAATTATTATGAATAAAAACGAAACTAACGTGTGATAGTTTCCTTTTCTAATGTTTTCTCCTTTTGTATTTAATCCAAACAAAATAGACGGAATCTGCTTTCCTTTACTCTCATTTTCTTTTTTTCACTAGAGTCCTCTCGTTTCTTTTTCTTCCTCTTCCTTCAACCCTAATGGTGCTTTAGAGGTCTTGAATTCTATTATCCTTAGCTCCTTCCGGTTCTTGCATCCAATCTAAAACCTAATCTCTTTATCCCTTCCTTCCTGCTTCTTAAATCCGACGTTAGTTAGTTACTCTGTTAGAAAAATATTAAAAAAAAAAAAAAAAAAGATTGGAAAATCTCTACAATGACCTCTTGCGAACCCATAGTTTTGGGCTCAAAATAGGATCCAGTTTGTTATCAAATCTCCTGGTAGTTAGGATCCCATAAGAAGCCTTCAACAAATTTCTCGAGGTGGTATTCATCGTCCTTAACCTAAGGCGCAAGCAGCCTAAACCTAAGGCCCAAGCAGAGGCTAAACGCGCCTTCTGTTTTTCCAACGGATGCACTAAACAAACTAAGCATTCGAGGGAGGGTTCTGTCTTCCTAATGGAGCTTTATGATCATTAAGTATCAATTTTTGTCTGTTGTTCATAAGCACAAACCATAATATCCAACTTCTTCTTCCAAGATTGAAGGCACCTCCATTGTTTAGGGAGCTTTTTTGTCACTTACGATAGTGGTTTAGGATGGTATGCCGAAATAATAATAATAAAAGAAACAGCGTGGATGAGGTGGTCAGAATTTCTTCTGTGGCTAGAAGTCTGAAACATCTCAGTACCAGACCTTGTTGCACGCACCATGATTAGTTCACAAGATGAGTAGTTACTGTTGTAATTGCCCCGAAAAGGAAATGTCTGATAATGTCAGTCTTTTTTTTTTTTTTTTAACAAAAAATAAAAAAAAGTTAAATTAGGCAGTAAGCATATATAGAAGGCCAATTAGTCTTCAATGTCTGCATTTAAATGGTAAATATGAGCAAAAATCTGGGTGTATTATTATTAAACACCAATTAGGAAAATCCGAAAAGGGAAGTCATGGAATCCTTTTGTGCATTATTAAAAAAAAAAAAACGCTGCTCGTGTACTTCTTTTCAGGGTCTCGAATTTAGACTTGTTCCTGATGATATTTACACAATTTGAATTGGACAACTTGTTTAATAAAATAATTTACAGACAGAGAAAAAGTTTCCTAACAAATTCCTGCTCCTACTCTTTTGGATCTACGATATATTCTAACACCCCCTCCAGTTCTTCGGGAAATCATCTTCCTCCTCAAATCCAACACAACAAACCTCTCCTTCCATACTCCAATCTCTCAGCAACCATGGCCATAGGGAAGGCCCGCAGCAACAAGAGATCATCCAGCAGTTCACGCTCCTCTACTTTGACAACCACAATCTTGGTAGCTTTGTGCATATTCGGATTATGGCTGCTGGCACCCAATACTCTTGTTTATCCACGTACAACTACTCGAACTTCCGCTACAACTTCCTCTCAATCATCCTCCATGCCCGACTCTCATGAGATTCATCCCACAGAACCTATCCCTAAGAAAAGCCAGCCCGTTTTCCAAGACAGTCAAGGGGACCTCCCAGAAGATGCCATTCAAACTGATCACGGGGCAACGCATAATGACCACACAGATGAATCGCCAGAACTCCCAAACCAGAGTTCGACCGGGAGCAAAGCTCAAGCAGAAGCTGACAACGTCAGTGAACAAGATTCTGGACCGGAAAATAATGGCGATTCGGACAGCAGTAGTGACAACAACAATGAAGCAGAAGGAGATGGTGGTGGTGGTGATACGGACAACAGGGATGTGAAGGAAACGGATCCAGATGTTGGAGAGAATCCACAAAAATTGCACGGCGCAGAATCTGTTGATGAGCAAGGGGAGCAGCAGCAACTACAAAATCAAAACTCTGAGGAAACTTCTATTACTCAAAACCAAGAAGCTGAGGAAACAAGGGAAGAGCATACAAGTGCTTCAGCCGAAAACAACCAAGAAGAGGGTACAAGTGACGACAAGCTTGATGACCATCAAAGTTCAGACAACAATGAGCATGAGATATCAGATGAAGATCAACAAAAACGATTGGAACAGCATCAACAGCAGGAAGATGATCAAGTCCAACAAGGAAAATCACAAGAAGATACTCAAGGAACATCAAACCATGACCAAGTGGAACATGATGAGGCACCCTTAGCCCAGACTGGAAATCACATTAATCAATCACAGCTCGGGGGCCGGAAAAATCCTGAAACTCATGAAAGTCAGCATAATATTCTCCACAATAACAATTCCATAAAGAACATCTCAAGTGAACAAACAGGCAGGAAAGCAACTAACCCGGACACTAGTGATTTCTTTCCAACTGGAGAGAGATCTCAGATACCCAAGGAGTCAAAAAAGAACTCCTGGTCAACTCAAGCTAACGAATCTGAAAACCAGAAAGATAGACGACAAAATGGACAAGATGATCAAGATGGCAGTATTATCAACTACAAATGGCAACTATGTAATGTTACAGCTGGTCAGGACTACATACCATGTCTGGATAATGAGAAAGCAATCGCAAAGTTACGGAGCAGGACACATTACGAGCATCGTGAAAGGCATTGCCCAGAGGATGCCCCTACTTGTCTTGTTCCACTGCCAAAGGGATATAAAAAACCATTACAATGGCCTCAGAGCAGAGATAAGGTAGAATAATATACGATATACTGCAGTGCTTTACAGAAATGTGCATTAACTAATGCTTTTCCATTTGAACAAAGCAGATATGGTATCATAACGTACCTCACACAAAGTTGGCAGAAGTCAAGGGGCATCAGAACTGGGTGAAGGTATCTGGAGAATTCCTTACTTTCCCAGGAGGTGGTACTCAATTCATTCATGGAGCACTGCATTATATTGATTTCCTAGAAGAGGTAACTGCATGTACAACTATCATATAACTTGTCAATTTCCCTGAAACTATACTACATTTCAGTTCAAAATAACAAAGTCATATCAATTGAAAAAGGAAAATGTGCAATAGACAATGTGATGAGTTAGTGTTATTTTTCCCTCCTCTCTTCTCACCTCCACCCTTTTCCTACAACTGGTGCAGGAAAAAGGAAAAGAATTGGAATTAAAAATAGGGATAATTTCAGAAACCTCCCCTGAGGTTTTCGACAATTTCAATCGGCTCCTTTGAGATTTACATAATTACATAGACCTCCATTATTGTGATAAAAAAACAATAATGCCCTTTATTAATTGTCAACTCATTGAAAAACTCTATCAAATATTAAAACTCTCTCATCGATTATTAACCAATAATTCAAACCACAGTTTTTTCTATTTAACTATCTTTTCTTTTTCTCATATATCTATTTTTCTTTCAAACTAATTTATCTATTATTGTCAACCAAATGTGTACTGTCGCTACTAATAAAATCATCATACACGCTAAACCACCAATACTTACATATCTTAGTATCTATTCCCAATTCTCGATTTTCCATTATAAGTAAATAGTTTCCTTGCGCCCATTGTTGTTTCCAATTTTTGATAGGTATTAGCAAATTGAAATTGTCAAATGACAAATTGAGTGCTAATTTCATTATCATTTTGATGGAGATGAAGATAGTGACAGTGATAAAAAATAAAAATTAAGGATAAGAAGTGGAATAGAAACTAAATATAAGTTATACTATTATGGTTATCATGAAAAAAAAGCGTTCTTGGTATATATTTATAACTGTATTGTGTTTCTATTTTTACTTTACAATTATTGATATTATTCTCATAGAGAGAATTTGATTGATTTTGAGCTCTGTGCCAATGGAATATATTGGACATTGATATTAGTAGTGATTGTTTAAATTATTTTGTATTAAAAAGGTAGTAGTCATGGAATTGAAATTTTAGAATATTGATGAATATTGTAGTATATTAAGTAAAATCTAATATTGTTATGAAATTGTATGTAAATTTTTGGATATATGATGTAGCATTTATAGTTGATACAATGGTCTGCATCTGAAATTTTTAAGTAAAAGAGGAATATTAGAACAAAGATAAGTGTTTATTTAATGATAATTTGGATGTTGATAGGTAGGTAATAGTGGTAGGAAATAAAGATAAATGAAATAGAGACTGGAAACCATTTTTCCTTTACATTTTTGTTGTTAATTATAACTCAAGGGTATTATAGAAATTTTGGGAAAAAGTATAGCCTTTTGGGTCTAGATATTACTTAAATAGTGAAAATAGGGGAGGTAAGTATAATTTTTAGAACTTGAGAGGAGCTTTTTACAATTCTTAAAAACCTCTGGGGAGGTATGTGAAATTAACCCTTAAAAATAACTAGGAAAGGCATAAAGATGCTACTTGAGCTTTCCTTGGTATTAGGTTTTGTCCTGAACATCCCACTCTGTGCGCGCACACAACTGATTTTCCCCAGTCAGCTTTGAGACAGCCCCTCCACTGCTTCTTGTGATTTTTCCAAATATATTTGGCTGCAGGCTGTTCCAGATATAGCATGGGGTAAGCATAGTCGAGTGCTGTTGGATGTTGGATGTGGTGTTGCTAGTTTTGGTGGCTACCTCTTTGAAAGAAACGTACTCGCAATGTCTTTTGCACCTAAAGATGAGCATGAGGCTCAGGTTCAGTTTGCCCTTGAAAGAGGAATACCTGCAATAAATGCAGTGATGGGTACCCAGAGGCTGCCATTTCCTAGCGGAGTCTTTGATGTTGTGCACTGTGCTCGCTGCAGAGTTCCATGGCATGCTGGAGGTTTTCCCCCCAAATTTTCTGACTTTTGTTTCTAATTAAATTTGAACTTACATTATGTCTATATTAACATTGCTTAGTATGCTAACTGAGAAAATTTAATCAAGGTGGTGCTCTTCTTCTGGAATTGAATCGACTCCTCCGACCAGGAGGTTACTTTGTCTGGTCAGCTACTCCAGTGTATCAAACACTTGAAGAGGATGTTATGATATGGAACGGTATGAGGCTGATCAATGATTCTCTTGATCCTGTCTATTGTCCAACTGTCTAATTATTTGCATTTATCCTTCCAGAAATGTCCAATCTAACAGTTTCAATGTGTTGGGAGCTAGTCACTATCAAGAAGGATAAATTAAACTCTATAGGTGCTGCAGTCTATCATAAACCAGACTCAAATGAATGCTACGATAAAAGGAAGCACAACCATCCTCCAATGTGCAAAAGCGATGATGATCCTAATGCAGCCTGGTAACAGAAACTAAATTCCATCAGCACTGTAAATTCTTGTTAAACTTGATGAATGACAAAAATGCAATTGTACTTTGAAATTACAAATTTATGTGTCATCCTCACCTATGTAGAGCTGAACTAGTGCATAGAAAATCTGGCTCACAAAGAAAAAACAGCAATTTACAAAAATGGCATATATGCTTTCTATTGTCAAATATTCAGGAGTCATTATAATCTTGCATAAACCAAAGATTATCAAATTTTGTGAAAGAGTATTAACTCTAGAAGCAGAACAATCTTCTGGAACTCTAGATGCGATAAGAATGACTGTAAAATCATAGAGGGACAACCACTTTTTTAATTGGTTCAAAATATGTGGACTTTTACATGCAAGGGAAACATCTTCATATAATTAGACACTTAGCCTCAAGCATATTTACCTAAAAATTAGTCCATTTGAATCACAATTCTCTATAGATGAGCATATGATAAGCATAATGCGTACTCTTACAATGAGATGTACTTTGAGGCAGCAATCAAGGAACCCTATTCATAACCTCCATTGTCTTTTAGGTACATACCTTTGCAAGCATGCTTGCACAAAGTTCCCATTGAAGCAAATCAAAGAGGGTCAGATTGGCCAGAGGAGTGGCCTCGTCGACTTCAGACACCTCCATACTGGTTGAACAGATCTCAGATGGGAATTTATGGAAAGCCAGCTCCAGAAGACTTCACAGCAGACTATGAACATTGGAAACAGGTGGTGAGCAAGTTATATCTTAGTGGACTGGGCATCAGCTGGTCAGACGTGAGAAATATCATGGACATGAGAGCAGTATATGGGGGGTATTCCCAATCACTAAAACGTAGCATGATACCAAGAGTTGTTTTGTGGATAAAACTAATTGAAGGATGGTGCTTTGCAGGTTTGCTGCAGCACTGAAGGACCTAAAAGTGTGGGTAATGAATGTGGTGAACATAGATGCTCCAGATACACTTCCCATTATCTACGAACGAGGGCTCTTTGGTATTTATCATGACTGGTGTGAATCCTTCAGCGCGTATCCCAGGACATATGACCTCCTACATGCTGATCGTCTTTTCTCAAGGCTAAAAAAGAGGTATAACAGGTTGCAATACCATTTTCACCTGTTTGTCATCCTTGATCTGGTGACTCATGTCTTCGGCTTTCACAGGTGCAAACTCATTCCGGTGATGGCAGAGGTTGACAGAATAGTTCGGCCTGGAGGTAAATTCATTATGCGCGATGACTCCAGCACAATCAGGGAAGTTGAGAATGTGTTGAAATCTCTGCATTGGGAAGTCCACTTGACTTTCTCTAAGAACCAAGAAGGTATACTTAGTGCCCAGAAAACTGAATGGCGGCCAGACTCTTATGCTGCTTCTTCATGATTTGCAGATGACAGCTCTAGTTTCTAATCCTAAAGGGTTCCAAGGTACTCAGCAAAAGTAGTAGTCAAAGTTTATTTCCAGCGTCCATTCTTTCAGATTATACATCCATGGAATTAAAAGAATGAAAGAAAGAAAGAAAGAAAGAAAAAGAGTCTTAAGCTTACCAAGAGAGCAGAACTTCTACAGTTAATATTCATGATTGATTCTAGAAATAGTCAAGAACACATAATGGAAACAAAATCAGTGTCTAACTGATTACAGCGTGTTGACCTTGAAGGGAGCAATTCAACAAGAAAGAAGCGGCTATATGAAATCTGACAACTAAGTATAGCAGATTCAATAGATTAGCTAAAAACTCAAAATAATTGGCAGCAGTCATCGGGTGAATCTAAGCCTAATTCTGCTTGATGATGTAGAAACAGGTTAGTCTACTGGTCACTCAAAAACCAGTTGTCTATCTATTTAGATTTCTCATGGTGATGTCAGATAGAAACTTAATGATTAATGAAAAAACTACGTGAAGCTCCAACAGCAGTTGAAGTCTGACCCAAAAACAAACACCTCCTGCACACATAGACATGACAGTGAGTGCAGTGAAGAAGAAACAAGCCAAGGGCAAAAAAATTGTGTTTGGTAGGTCAAGCAATCGACTCTATGAGCGCCAAGTGACCAAAGAAAGTGATTATGAAAAGCACTATGTGCACAGAATGAGAATCTTTTATTGATATCAGTTACATTTCCAATGTCTCAAAGTAGCTTCAATTCTCATGAGAGATTTTGATCAACAGAAATTAAACTTAATACTAATTATAAAGCAGCAGAGATCGAACCACCTCGCATTAATTTTATTTGGGTCTAACCACCCAAAATCACCTTCAGGTCCTAACAGTTAAAAACGCAAGCCTCCAATTTCAAGTCCTTTTGTCAACCATTGCCAAGAAGACTATGCAATTGACCATCTCGAACAGCTGCCTGGAGATCTAAATTACAAGAAAGAAAGCTTGGAAACAGTGCTTGCATTCTGATCAAAGATTTAATAAAAGCATGAAGTAAGAGTGCTAACCATCACAACCACCAACATGCTTTCCATTCACAAATATTTGAGGAACTGTACGGTGGCCCACCAGATCCAGAAGAATATTTTGAATTTGATATCCATCATCTGAACAATGTTCAGAAGAATGAAATCATAGGAAGCTCTACTTTGCAAGGAAAAAAATTGTTACTTTGAAACTGAATAATACAGCTCTTGAAAGATATCTCTATATATTGAGCTTGTATACCTCTAAGATCAAGCTCCACAACAAAAGGCTGCTCGTGTAGTTCACTGAATATATGCTTGGCACGTAAGGAGTATCTAAAATTAGACAAAACACCAACCATAAGGATGAGTAGGAGATGGAACAAGTTCCACTTTAACTGAGTCTTTGCGTGCAGGATGTGTGAAATACATAACACTGCTTCAATGTACTGAGGTACCATTTAGATGCTATCCATATAGCACACACACAAAAAGAAAACCAAAAAAGAAAAAAAAAAAAAGGAATTATTAAAGAGATATAGGTGCAATAGGAATATATCAGTATCCAACAACTGTTCTCAACTAATAAAAGGAACAGAAGGCCCAAACTTATCTTTGGCACATTATTTGACACAACATATATGCAACTGACATAGCTCCCCGTCACCTCAGCACAGCCATGAATAACTCAACTGACCCAGTGTAGCGAAGAACAAAAGGTATAAAAAAAAAACACACTAAATGGCAGGAAGTAGCAAGCTAGTAGCACTGCCATTGGCAGCCTGTCTACCAGCACTCCACCACAGAGCTCCAAACTGCAATGACAAAAGGTAGCTTAACTATTACATCCATCCATTTGCAACCGATGTCCAAACTTCTTGTGCTAAACAATAACCTTAGCCAATCCAACCTCAACCAACACTTTCAGTTCAGCCACAAATTAGCCAAAAAAGGATCACATGAAATTGATCCACATTAAGATCACAACACAAAGTATGCAAGTTCACTAAGTAACAACTATCAAAGCCTTCTTGGACCCTCTAAAGAGCAGTTGTTTTGCTTAAAATTCTCGAAACTCTAACTCTAAAAAGACTTGGATATCCCCGTCTTTCGTACCCAAATTGGTCCTTCTATTTTATTAACTCATTTCGACCTTTGCCTCCACAGAATCTGAGCTTATGATCCCAACTAAAAGACTTGCTTCATGTTGGCACGCAGCTTGTGAAAGGGTCCATCGAACGACGGAGCAACCAGTACACAATTAATTGATCCATTAACAAAGTAATTGTTCATATCGGAAGCATGAATGCTAATTATCCAGAACAAGCCCTACATTAGGCAAATGAAATTTACAATCTTGGCCACCATTCATTAGCTAACAATAGAATCAAGCATATATCTGAGCTAGCCAAACTTCTTCACAAGCTCAGCTTTGGGGAGGAAAGACTACTGTTCCCATTGTGAAAAAAAAAATCCTTTGACAAGAAAAATGACCCAATTTCTAGTACTAAAACGAGTTAAAAGAATGAAAAAGAGCTTACGGGCAATAAGATTTGGAGAAAATTATGATTTTGTTGGAGTAGATGGCGTTTTGAACGAAGGCTGATGGAGAATTAGCAGCTATAGTCTTTCTCGGTGCAGCAATTAAGGTAGACCATAACACTCCGATTGTTGTCACCGTTACCAAGAGACGGCGATTATTCCAGGTTGTCATCAACATCGCCGACGCCGTTATCCAATATCGTCAGTCTACCGGAAAAATCAGCGGGCTTCTTTGGCTCTATGAACAATCATGCATAAAATTCATAAGTAACAACTTTTAACTTTATAGCTATTCCTATCGGGAAAAAATTCACTTTTCATCCTCAAACTTTATGATAAAGACACATTTGGTCTCCAAACTTTTCGTCAGAACACATTGAGTACATAAATTAATGATTTTGTGCCACATTAAGTCAAAAAAGGGAAATTTTTTTCAATTTGGACGATGAAGTCCACGTGGCCGTTAACAAATGTTCAAATATCAGAAAAACTAACACAAGTCAAACACAAAAGGTTGACAAAAGTCCATTTTTTGTCTCTATTCCACTGTTTTTCTTCTCCAAGTTTCCATTTTTTCCACTTTTTCATTGGTTGAAATATTTCCATCCTCACAGTGGAGCTTTTTGAAACTCATAGTGGAGCATTCCAGTTCGGTGATTGAAGATCACCAAACGTGAAAAAAATATTTGTTCGGAAGAAAGAGCTCAACGATTGTGCACCCCCAAATTACAGTAATGAGTTAAACAACTAAATGTAAAAATTTTTAACTTTTGTGTGTATAATATTTAGATGTGGTCCCTAATGTTCGCATTGTGGGTATATTCTAGTTACTTTGAGTTGTATTGGGTTGAAAAGATTAATTATTTTTAATTGATTGTCGGATCTAACAAATGCATGTGGTCCTTATTTGTGATTATACTATTAAGATGGACCCATAAGATGTGGTCTTTATCTGTGATTATTGAGTGCATTGTTGTTAATGTTAATGTATACCCTGTTGATTATTGAATGATTGATATGTGCATTTTTGTTATCAGAGTAAGGCAGTACACTGATAACTCTAAGATGTCACCATGAAGGGTTAATTTCCTACACTCCTCATCCACGTTATAATGGTGGAAATGCATGTGTCATTGACTATGTTGAAAGTATAGGTTTAAGTATTTTTGAAGTAAACAGATTGACTGAAGGTGCTAGTTCGTATGGAGACAAAGTGTATAATGGTTGGGAAAACAGCAACTTTATAAGGAGAGAAACAAGTAGAGAATTGCATGGATATATTAAGAGGAATGGTTGTTTAAATAGGAAAATTATTTTGTATGTTGAGGTATCATTCCATGAAATCTATGTTCAACAGTTAGGCTTTGATCCGTATCAGATTGGTGAGAATGAAGGGGCTGATTGTAATGACAATTTGAATACACCTAACGCTGACTGCAGAAAGGGAGAGAATGACAATGAATCTAATAGGAACAATAATAATGATTCTGATTCAGGGAGTGAATACTTCTTCTCAGCAGTGGATTCTGATTATAATATGACTGATAGGGATGATAATAAGTTGCATGACAATGTAGACAAAAATCATAAATGGCTAGGTGTAGAGCATCATAAGAATTTTCAAAAAAATAAGCCAACTGAAATTGAAAGGGATGACAATTTGGTGATGCCAGAGGACAATGATGTTGCCCCATCTTCTGAATCTGATTTTGAAACTCTGAATGAACATGATGATGAAAAAACCAGCAGTGAATATAAAGTCTTCAACCCTAAAGATATTGACAATCTAACATTAGAGTTAAAAATGCTGTTCAGTAGTATAAAAGAGTGTAAGTTGGCTATCACAAATTATAGTGTAAGACATGACAGACCATGTAAATTTGTGAAGCGGGACAAAATAAAATTGAGGGCTAAGTGTAGAAGTGAAGGGTGTGACTGGCTTATTTATGCTGCAAAATTGAGTGGGAAAGGTAGTGTGCAAATCAGGACATTTGAGAACACCCACAAATGTGGTTTCACCTATGACAATCCACTTGTAAATTTTGGATGGGTTGGCAGAAAGTATACTGAGGAGTTTAGAACTAATCCTAAGGTAGACATGCAGCACTTTAGAAAGACTATAATGAAGAATAATAAGTACTCTTTCTCCAAAAAATAAATATACAGGGCTAGGAGAAAGGCTATGAAGATTATTCATGGGAGTGAAACTGACCAATATAGTAAGTTAAGAGCATACATGTATGAAATTCATAAATCCAACCCTGGAAGCTCCATTATATTGAAAACTGTGGATAGATCTACAAGTACAGCAACACAACAACAAAGATTCCAAAGGTTATACTAGGGGTGGAGCTGATTCAAGCTACTCGACTCGGGTTCGATATGTACTCGATCAGAAGCTCGAGCTCGAGCTCGCTTCATCAAGCTCGAGCTTGATCTCGAGCTGCTCGTTAGAGCTATCGAGTCGAGCTCGAGCTCAGAAATTTGATACTCGAGAGCTCGACGAGTTCTATCGAGTATCACATAAAAAAT